GAAGTTACAAGTAGGCAGTGGTAAGATCTGGCTTTGGTGGTGTGTGACAGGCATGTCGGGTTATCCCATATCAATACATGTCTTAAAAAACCAAAACGCCTTTCACATATGTTTTTGTGTGTGTGTATATATGTGTGTGTCTCTACAAAATCGCTGGTGGTTGTATTTTTGTCTCTATGGGTGAGATAAGGAATGTTTCCTACAGAATCTACAGGCAGGCGACTAATGCCGATCACTGCCCCGGGGAGACAGGACAGAAGGTTTTGCCTACTTTAAAAGGATCGAGATGACACAGGACTCGAAGGATGTTAATCTAGCAGCCCTCTTCTGGGAAAGAGACTTGCTTTCAGCGTAGGAAAACAAAAACACAGGACTAACTATTCTGCCAGGAACTCTGTGAGGAAGCTGGGGAAGATAGTAAAGTAAGCTTGTGTATCAGCTATTTATTTTAAGTTTATGGTTTGATAGTTTATATTATATCAATAATGCATTATTAATACAGCATATAAATAATATATATAAATACTAGAATTTTATTGCTTTAGGTAGGCTACCCCTGGAATGCTTTTGTTCTGGCACAGCAACACTTTGCTTTCTGATCCCTCGGTCACCTTGTCGCTGCCCCCATGCCAGAGCAGCACGTCCTGCACTACCTGCTGAGGTGAGCACCGACCTGTGATGGCTTCACCCTGACCAAGGACAGTGAGGAACCAGCCTGCAATGCACCAAATGATTACGTATAGGTGTCATTTTGAGGGGCCAAACCTCTAGCCACTTGTTGAACGCTGTTTTCCTTGGAGAGTGGGAGTTTGCCTGAGGAAAGAGAGAAATCCTAACCATGGTGTTCTGGCCCCGCAAAACGCTTCCTGAAAAGAGCTTCCTCTCCTTCAGGAAATTCCATGCACCTGAAACATCAACTGTAGATAAGACTTACTCTGCTCAACCAAATCAAGAGATATAAATGTTAAAAAGCAATCCATTTTTTGATGGATTAAAAAAAAAATTCATTTCTGAATGCTGAGTTAAAAAACCGTATTTATGAGGGAGGGTGAGGAACCCTTCCCACCCACCAAACTCGAGCCAGGTTATCAGTAATTTCTAGTTAGGTAGCACAAGGGACAAAAAGGACCCCCACGTCATCAAACAAAGTTTCCCATCTCCATAGGTACCATATCATATAAGTTCCTTCAGAAATGCATCAAGCACTGCTATAGCGAGAAAAAAGAAGCTCCCTTTAATCTTGGACTACCCTAATTTGAAGGCTGCCACATAACAAAGTTGTTCTACTGATCAGGAACCCTCTAATTTACAGCCTGAATGTGTTCCTGAGTAGTATAATCCAGCACGGTCCTTCAGTCTAACGTTCCTCTTTTGGCCGGTGTTGACCCCTCTGCATCCAGAGCGCCATTCAGCCCTTGTTTTGCACAGCCAAGCCGTGTCCATCACCCTGCCTGGAAACCTTTTAGTCCCAGATATCCTGAAAATCAGGGCTAGTCCTTGCTCCAGTCTGAGCTCTCCCTTGCGTGCGATTTCACTAGCCATGAAGTAGGGACAGGTACCTATCTCACAGTGCGAGGAAAACTTTTGACCTTGTAACGTGCTGTATAGGCACTAAGGCCACAGCTAATGGCACACTAAATCTGTCTCTAGCCTCAAGTTGATAAAAAGTGATGGTGTTTGCAGTTGTGCATCCCACTACCATTTACTACCTGCAGCCGAGAAGCCGTGCCTGCTCAGGGAGCCGCTCTACGCTACATTTTCCTCTTGAAAGCCATATGGTGCTGGGATCTAAAAAGCCCTTTCTGTTCACAAACACCCTGAGAGGAGCCTGCTGCACTATCTATTTTCTTTCGGTCCAGAGGGAGAAGTTTGACCTGACACCACCCAGCATGGCAGGCCCCTGGCCAGGCTGGCACAGCCCAGCCACCAGCAGCCGTGCCCACCAGTTTGCGTGGCCCTGCCCATTTCCCCTAAGGGCCATTTTGAAGGGACAGCTGAGCAGGAGCAGGCATCACCTTGGCCTGCCCGGGAGCGTAGCTCCGCTTTAAAGTCACCGCTGTACAGTTACCTACTTTGATTTGCCATATTAGAGCTAGATGTCACGTGCTTCATCTCCTAAATTCCCTCTCAAGGTACTCGTAAAAGTCAACCAAAGTGGTAGACAGGCATCTGTCTCAAAACCTCCCCAGAAAAAGGTTGAAACTACGGATTTGTTTTCACAGATGACTGAGGAACTGTTATTAAGTCTTGTCCCAAGAGTTAGCTACTGACTTCAAAGCAAATTTTTTTTGTCAGCAGAAATTGATAGGTTTCGTTTCATTTGGTACAACTATAAATTGTGATAATGACAAAGACTGATTAAAAAAACCACAATTGTCTAGACTCATTCTAGTTTAGACATGCTTTGTAAAGAATGAAAGAACATAAAAAATGAAATTAAAAATGAAACTGAATAAAATATTTCAACTGACTTTTTAAACATGTGAGGAATACAAAAAATAATTTAGAAGGAAATGCATTACTTATTCAAAAAAGTTCCACTTAAAACTATATAGAAGCTTGATTTTTAACTACCCTGAATTACAACTAAAACTTCATATTGCAATACCTAGGTGACAGCTGAGGGAAAAAAAGAAATCCGTTTTTCTTCTGCAGCTATGTGCATTTGCAATGCTATTTACATTTCACCTATTTCACGTGAGTAGTCAATCAGTATTTTTCACTACTGCTTTCTTGAGTCTTTCACAAGGCAGCAAGTAAAGAAATGATAGCATTCTCCCCATCACACCCCACGAGTAAAACTTGTAAGAACTGGCAGCAGTTAGACAGTGTTAGTACATAGAAACAATCTTAATTAAAAAACAAACAAACAAACTTTTTTAAGAAAGCCAGACCAGTTCTTCCTGTAACAACTGAAGTGTACGTAATTATTATTAAAATATATAGATCACTACCTGAAATATTTTAAAACTCATTTTATGAAGTCTGAAAAATTGCAATATACTTGCTACAAAAAAAGTTTTTCCTCGCTCTGATCTCTCACAACCTGGGGTTTTCATATAGATTGTGGGTTTGTTCAATAACTGATTTTTTTCTAAGTCATGATGTCTTTGAGGCTTTTCATACAGGGGAGAGAAAAATAAACAAACACAGCTTCAGTCTGGTGCTTTCCTTCTCCAGAATCCTGCTAGTAGGGTAAAGTCTGGAAAGTCCACTCCTTTTGTTTTTCATATTGGCTTGTATTTTTCTATTAAACCCTTTGATATTTGGGCTCAAAACTTTTTTCCAAACCCATTCTCCTTCTCAGTATCCCTACAACTAAAAATGAGACATTTATGTACATAAAATCAGCCCAGTATAGGCACCTACATGGTGAAACAGCTATCTTTACACCTTCTAGAGAATACTGCACTTTAAAAAAGTCAGTTCTTCTACAAAGTTTAAAAAACTAATGATTAAAATGACAGATGTGAATAAAGTCATTTGGCAGACAGTTTTGTGCCGAGCTGTTTGTTACCTCCCCACCAACCCTAATAACTAAAATTCAAAGACTTCATGCACTAATCATGCAGTATGCTGTGTGCTCTTTGAGGAGTAACAGCCCGACGTGTCGAAGACTAACATTTCCTTGGAAACTTGGTAAGGATTATGCTACAAAACTCTTTGTACACTATGACTAGATGTCATGCTGTGCAGTTATGCTGCTTGCTACTTGACAAATGTGACAGTGACGTGAATGGTTACGCAGACTGCTGTACAAAAAAAGAAAAGCTTTAAGAAAGTTGCTGCTTTGCTTATTGTTACAGATTAACAAGATTCTGACTTGAACCTGTAACTGTTTATTTAGGTAATACTCTACCTCTCTCTTCCTGGAGCTTATGGTTACTCAATGACAGAATTTTACTGATTCAGAGAAAATTTTAGAGTACAGATATCACACTGCCTTTAGCCTCATTTATAGCACTGTTTGGTTTAGAGGCGGAAAGATATGTCTGACACAGTTTATACCGATAGGAAATACCCTGGATTTCTTCTCAGGAAAAATGGGACTGTGCTGGGGCGCTTAGAAACCACTCTGCAATTCACACAGAAAATCCCTGCCCACGGTTAGCAATAACACACTGGGCTAGGAAATCTAAAGACAAATCAAAGCTATATAAAAGCACACACACATTAATCTGTATGCATTACTACATTGACAGTAAGCGCTTCAAGACAAGGATTCATTTTACTCAGAGTGCCTACTGCAGTAGCTTTTAACATCTGCATCACCAGGGACCATTAGTTGCTAATGAAGAGGCTGTGAAAAAAATAACTAAGCAAAACTACCGTATTGACAGCTGGCTTAAAACCACCACCATATAGCAGCCTGTACCTCCGCCAGAAAATTTCAGGAATCCACACGTCAAAAAAGGTTGAGGATCTCTCTGAGTTACCACAATGGCATTCTTGTTCATAAAATGCTATTAAAAATAGAATAAGTAACTCAACCTACTAAAAAGAAACAAGCTTTTTACAGATTTTTAGTGTTCTGCTCTCACTTTACACGAATACATTTACCAAAACTTTCAACTAACTGAACCAAAACTAATTTTGCTAACCTTTGATTAGGTATCGTATATATAAGGGCTGAACTGAAATCTGTTACTGCAAGAAAATGCAAGTTCCATTTTGGTCCTCCTACAGAATATAAGACACCGGGGCCAGAATTTTCCTAACAGCTGCCAATAAAACTCTTTCCTTCGAGAGAATTTTGCTCTAAGTAGATATATGGTAAAATTTGAAGGGACTTCAATTAATTTGCAAAAAGGTCTCTGTACCGTTTTAATCATCTAACAACTTGCTGGAAACAGCTATATCTCTCATACGTCTCACACGGTATCTGGTGTGACTTATCAGGTGACTGCTATCAGAAAAGACTACTGCAGGAGCCTAATGGCGAACTCCAGTTTCACACATATATTTGGGGGAAAAGATACAGCTGATTTTCATTGGTTTTGGAAGAAAGCTTCTGTTTTGTTTTAGTTCTGTTCTTGTAATCAAGACTATAAGCAAACAAAGAGCAAAGAGAAAAAAAATCGCTTGTTGGTAGGCTTCCCTTTTTTTCCTTGTCCTATTGTCTGCCAGGTACCAGAGGACCATTGAGGAAAACATGGAGTTTACTTCTTTCACCTGACATTCAAGCTAACCTGTGGGTAGTTCAAACTACACCGTTGTAATGCAAAGCCAAGGTTTGGCAAAGGAATAGTCAGCCTATGTCCTCACACTCACACATGTCACCCCAAACTCAACAGGACTGTGGATACCCTTGCATCCACAACGTACATCAGTGACATGCCATTCAGTGGAACAATACCATTCACACCAGCTAGGAGCTGGTGCCCTTGTCAAGTGGGTGATCTTTTAGTGGGACATTTAAGAGGCCAAATTTCAGTAAAGCCATTTCCTATTTTCACCATTCACTTGCTTACCTGTAAAACCTGCTCACCAGAACCTCACTGGTGAATCCCATTCCTCCCCAGAACTGGAGACAGCTATCGGTCACTTCACGGGCCAGACGACCCGCCTTTAGCTTAGCCATGGAAGCAAATTTTGTCACATCGTTCCCTTCCACATAGAGAGCTAAAAAAAAAAAAAAGAAATAAAAAAGCACAGTTATACACATGCAGTCACTGATCACAGCCTGCCTCTCTGGCAATCACCTCCCCGTGTTCCTTTAGCCTGACAACGTTCTCTGCAAGAAGAGAAGCACATCTGGGAAGGCAGATGTGGGAGCTCACCAATGGTGCGGTACAGCAGCGAGCGAAGGAGCTCCACTTCGGTTGCCAGCTCGGCCAGGCGGAAGTGCACGGCTTGGTTGTGCAGGACAGACTGGTCAAACACTTTCCGCTGGCGAGTGTAGTCAATAGTTTCTTGTATTATAGTTTCCAGCGGTGTCAGGACTTGAAGAAGCAAAGCACAGAACAAGACATCATTTTAGCCAGATCTTCTGTTTTTCTTCTTGTTGAAAAAGATGGTTTTTTCACATTGTACAAACAATACATTAGGTTTTCTAAAGTAAATTATTCCCTAC